CTAGGTCAGGCAATTTTGTAACACAGAGAATCTCGGACTCGCAACCGTAAGGTTGTGGGTTCGAATCCCGTCAGGGGCCCGATGTTGTGTCCTTGGGAAAGGCACTTTACATGAATTTTCCTCACTTCACCCAGGTGGGAATGGGTACCCGGCTATAGACAGCGAAAGATCTTGTCAGTTTGTTAGTGTTTGAGCGCTTAATCAGCTGCTTGCACTGTATGCTTCCCAGGAAGCTGAGAATGTTTCAGAGTGTTCTATGGTCTGCTAGGGTAATAATATAGTGTAACGCGCATAGAGCCTGCTGTTGAGCGGGGATATGCGCTATACAAATGCTATTTATTATTTATTCTTCTTCTTCTTCTTCTTCTTATTATTATTATTAATACTCAAATAAAAAGGGGATTCATATCACATCCACAAAATAGCAAGACACACCCTTATGCATTCCTTGATTCCAAACGTATTGACGGTGTCTCACCTTCGGAGCATAATATTAAGAAAGCCAAGATCTGAAGGGAGGGAAGTATACGTAGTGCTTGTGTAATGTACTTCTTCTATGCCTATCCATTATGCAAAGCTTTGTTACTGTCAAGATCGTCTATCAAGACGCTCAAGGTCATGCTGCTTTATGTGGTTGGTTGACCAATGCCTAATCTTATGTTGTTCACTCATTCTTTCCTATCAAACATACGTAATTGCAACCATATCGTGCTCGTCTCGCTTCCTTCTTCTCTGCATTTTTTTCTCATGAAACAACTCCAATCTTCGGCACTATGATGATCAATTTAATTTGTATAGCAAAAAGCCGTAGAACTCCTTAATATAACACACGGCTTTGTTCTAATCAAAACATGTACCTGAGAGTCGAAAGGGTAGTAAGTGACGACGATATCGCAGGAGGTAGTAATCAGTATTGAGGGCGACCAAATTAACTCTCCATTCGCCGTAAGTCGAACCGGAAGCTCGTCGTATCTGGCGACACAAGAAAGATCACACTGATCGATTATTGTTTATTTGTTAGTTTGTCTGTTCCGAGTCGTTTTTTGGGTACAATGTTACTCATCTTATTGGCACCAGATACGCAGTGGCTATGATAACGTAGGTAAATAAATGCAGTATAATGATATTGCAAATATAAAAAAGCACTGGGAATGGATTTCAATTGTACTATTGTTTACTTGTTAGTAATTAGTTATTCTTCTTTTAATTTTTGGCGCCTATTCCGAGGAAGACTCGCACACACACGCACAAACACACACACATACATACCCACACACACACACACACACACACGCGCGCGCGCACGCAACACACACACATAGACACGCACACCCAACCGCACACACACAAACACATACAAACGCACACACACATACAAACACAAACACACACACACACGCACATTACACTCACAATACACACACATACACTCATACACAAACACATACAGGGTGATCCAAAAAAAACCTTTACAACTTTTTTTTTCTGAATATCTCGCGCAAAAATTGTTCTAGAATGCTGTAATTAGGAACAGGCATAATTCATTCAAAAGGAATTTGTTTGATATAAAATCCACGAAGAAGAAACATGTTTTGAAAACGGAAACGGCTAAAATAAAAAAGCACCCAAAAACGCAAAGTTCACCAATGTTTAAAAATCTTGTTAAGGAAGTCGTGAAAAGATTAGTTGACCATTTTCTTTATTTTCTCTTTGACATTAATTTTTCATCCCTGCGACAATCAAACAATATGTAATTTCTTTTACAGAGTTTTAAAAACCTAATGATTTGATTCTGAAACTCCGAGAAACAGTGCTCCACATTCCCTCCTTTGGACTCAACACATTTTTAACGCGTCGTTCGAAATGTTCAGTGGCGCCCTAACGCAAGGACCTGCTAAACCATGAGTTTTTAAAGCAACATACATTGTAAGTGTTCACTAAGAAGTGGCTTCTAGAGACAAAAGAGTGGGGTGTCCAATAGACAGCATTTTGGAGTTAACATAACCCTCAGGGTGAAAATGGATTTTGCACTAAACCAAATGTCATCGAGGAAAGGATCCCTCTTTACAAGACAATCGAGGAATCATGAACCCATTGCCATGCTCTGATCCATGTCATCTCGGCTTAGCGAAGATGAATAAGGTATAGTCGTAGGTTAAAATCTGCCCTTGAGAATGCAGACTGTTGATGTGTGGGAACGTCCTAGCTGCAGATCATCCACGGACAGACGTCTCATGGGACTCGGCTACTGAAATCTGCACTCTGGTGACGTTTAAAGGGCTACAAATGGTGCGTGTTTGACCTGAAGTGGTCATTTTAAAAAGAAATTTTAAGTTCTCATTCGCTTTAAATCCAAACTGACGGAACTTCTCTACTCATGACGCCAAAGGTCTTGAGGGCACCTAAGCATTTTCTCCATGCCGTGCACTGAACTTACGAAATGTCAGGAATGGTGAATTTGTGGAGAGGTAATGTTCAATACAAAAAGCTCTCTGGTCTTTGCTGAACGTGGCCATGATCTCAGCGGGCAAACAAAATTTGGGGAGAATGATATCTGCAGACTTCTGTTGACTTGTTAGACTGCTGTAGCTTGCAATATGGCTCGATTGTTACAACTTTTAGTGGTAGGCCTAATGCGAACTGGTGCGTCATGCTATGAAAATGTCGACAAGGTTGAAAATGGGTGTTTTTTTAATGCGCTATATAGAGAAAAAGCCTTCAATGGACTTATCTAAAATACATATCAGAAAAATTCCTTTTGGCTTCCAAACGTTATGTTCAAATCTGAAACGCAAAACCTCAGTATGGAGGAAGATATTTAATAAACAAGTTGTAAAGGTTTTTTTGGATCACCCTGTACACCCCCAAAAAACAACAACAAAAAAACCCCCCAAAAACAAAACAAAACAAAACAACAACACACACACACATTCAGACACACAAACACACCATTTGTATGTCTCACGGAGGTAAGCGTTTAAGAAGGAATTCCTACAACGTATAAAGAGCCCAGTCAGAGATGAGGTGGGAAGAAGACGTTGGCGATGGATTGGACACTCTTTCAGGAAGTCAAGCAGCTGCATAACAAGGAACGTGTTAGATTGAAACCCACAGGGTAAAAGATCAAGGGGAAGACCACGTGGAACTTGGAGAAGAGTCACGGAAATGGATGTACAGAAAAGTGGGAAGACGTGGAGCGGCATCAGGCGACTAGCCCAGGATAGGGAAAGGTGGAGAGTGTTTGTTCGTGGCCTGTATTCTGATCCAGGGTGAGAAATGCAATGATGATGATGATAAAGGGGCTCCACGCCTATACTATACCGTACCCCATTTCTTTTCGCATGGATACGCTGTTTGCAACGATGATATCTGGCAGCCATAGGTACTTCTGCTTAACAGTGATGCTCTCGATGCCCCCGTAGCTAGCGTTGTCCCAGGACAAGAAAGTGTCGCCCCATGATAACTCCAAGTCTACGTTCGTTGTCAGAGTTTGAGATTTTTCATCAACCTGTGGATACATACTTGATAACGTTCATACCAATTTCGACTTTTTGGCAGTTTCTGGGAGAAAGAGAACGAGAGCGAGTGAGTGAGTGAGAGAGAGAGGGGGTGGAAGAGGGAGGGAGAGAGAGAGAGAGAGAGAGAGAGAGAGAGAGAGAGAGAGAGAGAGAGAGAGAGAGAGAAAGAGAGAGAGAGGAGGGAGAGGGGGTGGAGAGGAGGAGAAGGGGGGGGGGAGGGGAGAGAGACAGATGGAGAATGAGTGAGGGAGAGAGCTACTGAAAGATAAACTGACAGACAGACAGACAAAATGACAGACAGACAGACAGACACACAGACAAACAGATTGTGGCGGAGGGGAAGGGCAGAACACACTCACCGAAACAAGAGATTTGAGAGCGAATGCCATGTAGACTAAAAGACTGGTGCCAGTGTCCGAGACGGGCCTAACTGAAGGGTTGTAGTTGGCGTCACTGAAGAGGAACGTGTAGAGATTGTACACCTCGACCTTACTGGCCCCGGAGCTCACTCGCTGCACACAGAAGACCAGCAGGACAGCCGCCAGCGGCACAAGCAGACGTAGACGGCCCATGCTGGGGGATAAGAGGAGAGGGGTATTTGCTGAAAAAAGAGCTGGAGGACTTAGAAATAAAAATGATAATGATAATAATTATAATAATAGTAATAATAATAATAATAATAATAATAATTATAATAATAATAATAATAATAATAATAATAATAATAATAATAATAATAATAATAATAATAATAATAATAATAGTAATTGTATTGGTACAAAAGTAATCGCAATCGTACTCGTAATAGTAATATAATAATAATGATACTACTACTACTACTACTACTACTACTACTACTACTACTACTACTACTACTACTACTACTACTACTACTACTACTACTACTACTACTACTACTACTACTACTACTACTGGGGGCTTTCGTGGCCTAGAGGTTAAAGTGTTGGCCTCTCATTCAAAGGTCCTGGGTTCGAATCCGGGTAGCGACCGAACATTTTTCTGCTCTAAAATTGTCTCCTTTTACCTCCTTTCCTGCTCTCTAGCAATGTTCTGTTGTCTGCTTTCATTTCCACTTTCTGTCCCCACCTCCTCACTTCCTTTACCCCCTCCTCTGGGCTCCTGACTCTTTCTGCAGCCTTTCTACTGCTACTCCTTGGCTCCTCCTTACTTCTGTCTTTCTGCCACACCCCTGATCTTTTGGTAAGAAAGATCTACACCTAGCCTTCTCGGACAAGGGCGAAACATCTCGGAGGGCCCGTGTGCAAGTTGCGCACGTTAAAGATCCCTTGGTGGTCTTAAATCGATAAGAGTAGGCTTCGACCGCCACGTGGGCAAAATTCAAAATTTCCTACCAACTGAAAATATTAGGTGTGTCCCGCGCGCTCATATGACCTTATGCAGTTGCGAGCGCCGTAAAACATTTTATAAAAACAAAAACAAAACCAAGTATTACTACTACTACTACTACTACTACTACTACTACTACTACTACTAATTGTAATATGCTGAGGAGATAATGCCTTCATAATATCATCTAGCCTCTTAAAAAATAAATAGTTAAACACAAGTAAGAAAACGAGTTATTGGAAATGTTATTCGTTCCCCTGGACACAACTGATGAGTGTGCGCCTAGAGAAAAGCGTCAAAAGACGCCCCAGACCGTTTCAAGCTACAGGCTGATAATGAAAAAAGTCACTTTTTTAAACCAAAATGTTTAATTAAAAATGATAGCTCCACCATTTTCTTAACAATGTACTCAAAGGGTTTTCATAGATATGACTTCTAAATACTTTATTTTGAATTATTTTGAGGGTAGGGTATAATAAAAGCAAATAATGAAAACTGCTTTAAAAAGTTGTTAAAATCTATTCTTGAAGCACGTTTTCTCTTCCCTGCCATGTTTTACCATTAAATTCCATTCATGATTTTGATGTCAACTGAATGCTAAATTGGAGCTGTCTTTTCCATGAATAAATACATTTAACAAAATCATTTTTAAAAAGTTTGTATGCGTTCTCACGTTTCTTAAACTTATTTTCTCAAAATTCTTTTTTACACCCTACCTTGCAAAATGTGCAATATCTCAAAAACTAATTGAGATCTAAAAAATTCAAAGGCCCCTGAGTTCAGCACTGAATTTCCTCTAAACCCTTAACTCAAAATTCGACTTTCGGTACCTTTCTTTATTTCAGACCATGCAGGAGGAGAGCTAGTTCGGCCCTCTCTGTCAGGGTTAAACATGTATCTATTTGAATACGAGATACTACATCCCGGAAGACAAGCAGGCATTTTTCCATCCGGGATCGAACTAACGTCTTTAGTGTACAAAAGCCTAGCGTCTGTGGTGGAATGATTTGGCACTTTTGCAAAGCATGCAGAAGACCCAACGTTCGTTTCCCGTGAGGAGAGCATTAAAAATTTATTTAACTGGTATTGAGATGAAGAAAGGCAGACCCATGAATATCATCAAAACAAGAAAGTGTCCAAAACCAGTGGAATAATATAGAAAAGGGGAGCATGCTTCACTAAAAAAAAGAATTTGCGCTATTAAAGGATGGCCATCGCAGTGTTTCCGAATTATGCCCCAAAACAACAACAAACAAATCAAAACAAAACAAAACAGAAGGAAAAAAGCTAGATTTTTTAAAACGGTGTCCAAAATGCAGCGTAACAGAACAGTTGTTATCTTTGTGTTTACCTTAAATTCTATGTGTAACACCACCAGTCTTTGTTCATAATTCCGTAAACCATTTCTGAATGTGTATAAATTCCCAGAATAGAGAGAAAATTTGTCACTTTCAACTCATTCCCACCATCGCAAACATCAGGCCAAAAAATAAGGACTGAAACGGCGTGTATCTCCACACGGTTTGCTAAAGCTTGATTCTTGACAACCCTTCTGACAAATCTCACCCATCCCCCCTCTCCCCAATACTGGACAGTTTTTACCCCCCAACACAAATCCCATTTCAGGTTCGGCAAGCTTTTTGTTGTTTTTCCCTATTCTTCACCGACTTGTCCTTCCATTTGCTCAATAATGTGTGCTTAGAACCTGTAAAGTCCAATGATATTTTCCCCTTCACAAGCCTTGCTTTCAAAATGAGCGAAAAGAATGGGAGCCCGAACATTAATGACCCTTGCTAACCGTGCAAGGGGAGAGCACTAAAGCACATTTGTTTGGACAAGAGACAAAAGTCGTTGGGTTTTGTTTTCACGAAAGCTCACCGCAGTGGTCCGGGGTCTTGGGGCGCCGGTGTTGGGACGAGTCTTCAGCTTCGATGGTTACTCGGAACAAACTGACTGTCCTGCCAGTATTAAAGACTTAAACAATTTATATAGAGATTTTCTTGGGGCTGAGAACAACGAACAAAAGGTTGTTGTTTTGTTTTGTTTTGTTTTGTTTTTGTCTCGTATCCCTCTTTCGGGAGCCATGTAAGTGATCTTTTTCGTATCAGACAATCATTGACTTAAAAAATGTGAGTGAGTAAGTAGAATGATATCTTAACATTAGAATTGATCTAAAAGAAAAGAGGAATAGTAATGATTAGGAATTTATTAACTTTAAAAAATAATCCCTAGCTTTTGACGCTCATTTTAGCCCCCCTCCTCCCCCTCCTAGGCTGTCCTGGGAGGTGGGACACACACCACTTTCCCACTCTCTTTGCATAACAACGGGTACAGGCTATTCACAAGGAGGTTATACAGTAAGATCAATTAGAAGTTAAGCTGATCGAAATAACTTGATAAAGCTCAGTTTTCACTTTTAATCTGTATCCAGTGGCGTCGGTAGTCTAGTAGTTAGGCTACCAGACTCGTAATTGTGAGATTGCGGTTTCGGGGTTCGAGGCTCTTTTGAATTCGACGATGTTAACCTGAGAAAGGCATATCACACGAATTTTACATTTTGGCTCTGTCCTATCAGGGATGGACATTTAATTTGGAGGACCCGTATGTTAAATAACCTCTCAGTGTTGAAAGAGGCGTTAAACCCACACAATGTATTTATACTGTATCCAAAGATCTACCAGAGGAAAAAAGAAACATATGCTATCCAAAATGCCAAACGACTTAGCTGGCAGTTAAAGTGGCTTTACAGTCGTCCAGCAATTATAATCAACGATTCATAATAAACACTATCCATTTGTAGTTGCGTGATTCCTTCTGTTAATCAAATCCTCTTTGGTCTTGACAACCTCAGCTGGCAATGTTTATGTTTCGTGGGACAAGCAGAAGAGCCGTAGGAGCCTCTGGATGACGTCAGAGTAAGGGTATAGCCATATCGACAAGTGTAGGATTCTTACCCAGTCTCATCTTGTCTTAATTAAGCAAGAGGTTTTCAGTTGCTTGTTCATTTGACCTCTTGCCGTGGAAAGCGTAGCTAATTGGGCCTTGTGCTAATAAGCTCCTACTGTTTGTTTCCATTTTCTTTCTCAATCGACGATGGTAGTTTTGCTAATTGTCGTGGAATCACACAGGCCTTCTCAGCTAAAAAAGTTCAGATCTCCCGAATAGTGTTTTCACGTCGAAGTAAACAGAATCGAACCAAAGACTCATCATCTTACAACACTATCTTTCTAGCCAGCTAAAACGTTTTCTTTCTCATAAACCCACTTTTCCTCGTTGTTGTCTGCCTTTTTGCAAGCTCTCAATTTCATAAATGTGCAGTTCTTATAATGGCGCACCACGGTGTTTAGAAAGAATTTACAGTACTTACAGCACAATAAGGTCATATAAATGAGGTGTTGCTAGATAGTAACATTCAAACTAAAGAGGAGACCTAAGAACGATAGACAATTCATAGGAGAGAAGAAGAAACCCACATCAAAGCACACGCTAACCGCCCATTAGATCTAATGCGTTCTTGAAAGTGAATTGTTCTAGAAGAATTATCATTTGTCATGTTCTTGTCACGCCCCGATAGGAGAGAGAGAGAGAGAGAGAGAGAGAGAGAGAGAGAGAGAGAGAGAGAGAGAGAGAGAGAGAGAGAGAGAGAGAGAGAGAGAGAGAATGTTTAACAGAGCGGGTTGTCCCAGCACGTGAGACATGTATTTACTAATGTCCGGTCTTGTTGTTCGTATGCGTTAGTGTGCCTAATCTTTGTAACGTCTAGTGCCATTGTTAGCGACCAAGACAAATTTCTCCTTTCGAGATGAATAAAGATTGCCATTGTCATTGTCATTGTCATATGACCTTACGCAGTTGTGAGCGCCGTAAAACACTTACAATTACTTGTTTCCCCCTCTCTTGAAAAAAGTTCCTTTCTGGACTTCACACGTCATGTCAAGAATGTGATAACGAAAAATTGGGTATAAAGATACAAAGAGCACAACAAAATCCAAGTCCATTAACCAGTTTATTATGAACACCAGTGGATAGAAAAGGAAGCAAACGGATGTTTGGGTGCCAACTATTATACAATCTTTTGTTCGAGACCATACAAACATTGTTAAAATAAACAAACGAACGTTCATAATTTTTAACGTCAGAACTATGTACACCTTTCTGCTAGGATTGGAGAAGGGAGCTTAGAGTATAAAACACCACTATGTTCCACACTGCTTCAGTGAAGTGACATAGCCAGGAAGAATTCGGAAACAAAAATACTCAAGTTTAATTGTTTTTTTGAATCATCATCATTAAATTCATTCAATCATTGTTCAAAAGTAGTAATGTATAACGTGTTGCAAAAGTTCTGTCCCACCCACTTTAAAAGTACAATTACTCATTTACTATTCAATATAGCCATGATAAATTTGGTACACATGATCTTTATTCATTTTCTGCCAACATGACATGAAAAGAACTGACCAAAGATATTCTTTATTCCAGGACGCTAATTTTATACACACTGACCATGGCAAAATCCGAATCAAAGTTTGCTCAGTATTGTGAGTGGCTTTTTCCAGCTTGACTTACTGATACAAACGGTCTATTTATTGACTGAATTGATGTCCTTACGGTTGCCTGAGGAATCCCCTGCCATTCCTTGTGAAGTGCACCCTTTAGTTCCTGACAAGTTTGTACAGAGTGCAGCCTGTTTCTAATCCTCCAGTCAAGGTCATCTTACAGATGTTCTGTTGGGTTACGGCTTGTTGATCTTGCAGGATAGTCCAGAACGATGATTCGATGAGTTTAGAAGGAGTTTTGGCTAATCATTGCCGCATGGGGTCTGACACTGTCTTATTAGCACATTCCATCAATCGCGCCATATTGGGCAGTCGACTTGATGATTAATTTCACCCCGATACCATCGTCCTTTGATGTTGCTTTAAAAAGTGACCAAATGTGTACGATAAAGAGCAGAGAATTCACCCCACACCATCACATTGCAGGTACCAGATCGGTTCTCTTTGGGGATATTGGCTTTGGGAATTCTCTATCCTCCTCTTTTAAACACCTTTTCTCTTCCATCAACGCGACGAATTAAAAACCTGAACCATTGTTGAATGGAACTCTGTACCAATGTCCTCAGATCCATCGACGATGCTGTTGTGCCCAAATTTAGCTTTTTGTTCGATGAAACGGGGTTAGAATGGCGTTAATCAGGTACTCCACGATCATATAAATGTCTAATAATGGTGTTTTAAGACAGTCCGATGTACCTGGTAGTCTATGCACTTGGTTGGAACGGGTTTCAAACATGGGTCTTGACAATAACCTGCATCTGACGTTGAGTTGTCGCCCTTGGTTGGCAAACGTCTTAGCTTGTCTTGGACAGTTCTAGTGATGTTGAAACGCTTGTTCAAGCGTTAGATGGTCCTGCTGCGCACATTTATGTGTCTTGCAACAGAAGAAAGCGCAATTGAAGAATTTATCATACACACAGGGAGTTCATTTTCTGAATTTTTCCGTTTTGTTATTTTGGAAACAGGAGAACGAATGACCCAACTGTTAAACATCACGGAATTTTTTAGTGTGTAAGGTGTGTTAACATATATTGTCTGCGTGACTTAACGCAAATTTTGTGTGTAGGATGCGTGTATTTCACCCTACACCATGAGAACTCAAAACCAACACTTTGCTCACGTACTGCTTCCGGTTTATGATTTCTTTCGTCTGCTCATACACGTGGAGTCCTATAAGTCACACAAGTCATACTTTTTTTCATTTTTGCTGCAATTCTTACGCTGTAGTGAAAATTATCGTAGTATAAGGGGAGTGACAGAACTTTTGTATATTAAGGATATGGATATTTTTTCCTTGATGGTTACAATACTGTCCAACGCCTGGGCTTCGGGGTTTCATAACGAACATGATATCACAAGTCGTAACAACATGAAGACAGATCTTACAATAGCTATTGGGAAAAATATAAGTGCAATAGTACAGGTTCACGCCCCAATTTAACACTGAACGTTACAGTGAATCACCGAATTTAACATCCATCTCAAAAAGGACAAAACCGAATGGATGGAGAGTTTTAAAACTCCCCTCACCAACTGAAGTTCTGAACACTTAGTTGGGGATTCGAACCAAGACCACCCGCCCCACAGTCAAGTGTGATACCAATTGTGCTAACGGTGCGCTCAATATAACCATAAGAAGAATCTCAGAAACAAGAAAGTGGGCAAAATTCACCCTGGTCAGATGACCAAACAGATCATTAACCTTGGGTTTTACATATAAAATACAACTTTTGTTTTTTAAAGTAGCGTGGAGTGTGAATATTGAAGATGCAAGGGCGGTTGTTAACAAGGGAGAAACGGTAAAGGTATACTTCAGGCATCCATTACGAACTTTCTTGACCTACAACGAACATCCGAGGTCTCCACTCTCTGAGGGAACACTTGCAGGTCGTCGAACGTCACGTATGAAATATTTAAAAAATAGGCCTATATCCTTTTTTTAAGAATGGAAGAAGGAAGAGGAGGGAGGCCCAAGTACACTTCAACCAAAGATGTTATAATGATACCAGAGCTTGCAGCAGTGACGTCACACGTGTCAGATTTAGGCGTGGGATCTTCATGCCCTTAATAAAGGCATGGCCGGCGCATCCCCTATTAGCATGCTTAGTCCAAGCCCCCACGAGTTCTTCTAGTTTATTACACACCGCCCTGCTCCACATTTCAGTGCAAACTTGTGGGTTTTCTCCTGAGACAAAGGGGACTTCACCGCGTGCATGTAAACTAACAACACAAAAGGTACAGTACAAAGGGGAATTTTTTTTTTTGGTTGCTTTTTTCATCCTACTGCTGTCAATGGGAGGTATTGGGATCGATTCTAGAGATACAAATGAACAGAGAAAAATAATTTTTTTAAAAATCATATTTTTTTACCGTGATCGATGAAAATCGACCTAATCCTAAGACGTCTCTTCCCTTAAGTTCATCATCATCATCATCATCATCATCATCATCATCA